TCTCAACAGGGCACAAGAGCATTGAAGACTAAGAGCATCTCCAACCATATTCTCTATCCATACAGTTTCTACAGTAAAATCCCACTAGTTTTACAGTTTCAACAGTGTCAGTAACTCCAATCCATTCCCTCTATAATTTCCCTCTAAAAGAATATTCCAAGCATATTCTTTTCTAATTTTATTAGTTTATTAAATAATCTCTACAAATTATATTTTAATGCATTATGCTTGCTAAAATTTACATATCTATGAATATATATTAATTATTGATTAATAAGATTAATTAATGAATTTAAATTAAAATAATAAAATTACACACTGCATCATAAAACCACGTGAATTACATCACAAACATTGATTAAAAAAAAAAATCAACACAAACATGGAACATTCAATACAATAAGAAATACGAAAAATAAAATACAACACTAGTTATTGCCACGAGAATATTTTTCACACAAATGTGCAACCAATGCATTACGAAGTTCATAGTGGGCAGACTTATCCTTGATTCGTTTGTGTCGAGCAAGAAATTGTTGAAACGAGACGTGATCTCGCAGTGCTGGAGTAACCGAATGAGCACCAAATTGAACATAACTTCTAATTGGCGCACTAAGATCACGTTGCTCTTTGACATTCATATTGTGCAAAATAATACAAGTTTTCATTATATCATTAAGCACCTCTTTTTTCCAAAAACGAACAGGATCCGCGACGATTGCAAACCTGTTTTTGCAGAACTCCAAATACACGCTCAACATCTTTTCTACATGCCTCTTGTCTCATTTTAAAGTATTCCTCCATTGGATTTGATGGTGCAACAAAAGACTGAACAATAGTGGACCATTTTGGATATATACCATCTGCTAAATAATAGCCCATATTAAACTATTTACCTTGAATGGTGTAATTAGCTGGTGGAGCGATACCTTCAGCAAGATTTGACATTAGAGGTGATGCTTCCAGCAAATTAATGTCATTATTCGCACTTAGCATACCAAAATATGCGTGCCATATCCATAGATCATAATCTGCCACACCTTCCAAAATGATTGTTGGCTCTCCGGAACGTCCAGCGTATTGACCAGCCCATGCCTTAGGGCAATTCTCTCATTCCCAGTGCATGCAGTCCAAGCTACCTAACATACCTGGAAAACCACGTTGTTCACCAATATGAAGCAATCTAGCGATATCATCGTGATTTGGCGATCTTAGATATTGTGCTCCGAAAACTTCAACGACTCCACGACAGAATCTCTTTACGCAATCATTGGTCGTTGACTCAACAATCTTAAGATATTCATCAACACCATCTGCTGGAGTTTTATACGCCAACTGTCGAAGTGCCGCTGTCCCTTTTGTATATGTTGACAATCCAAGTCGACCAAGACCATCCCGATGTTGCTGGAACAAATTATCATGATTTCCCAATGCTCGCATAACACGTTTGAAATTATGAATAGAAATCCGAAACCTTCGACGAAATGTATCTTCATCGTAGGTTGGATTACTACTAAAATAATCTCGAAACAGAGTGCGATGGGCCTCATCCCGATCACGATGGACTACTCTATGTCCCGGAACAGAACCTCCCCAAGTTGGTTGGCTACTTTGCGCGGAGAGAGCATGTGCCATAAAAAAATTACTGGTTTGCAATATATGAGTGGTGGTTGATTCCAAAGTGTTATAAAAAAGATGCAATGAAGCATTTGCATCTTCCTCATCAGAATCATAATTATAAGGAGGAAGATAATTCATTGTGAATGATATTAGAGGAAAATATTACAGAATTATTTGATAATTGAATGTAATATGTAGCTTGGATGATATGATGTATAGTTTCATGTTTGTATAGACGAATGGATGAATGAAAGAAATACATGGCTTCTTCATTGGATTCCTTTTCAAACAATGCCATGTGAAAGAAATTTGACCAACACAATGCCAAATGCAATAATTTCGGACAAGACCATGTAATCATTATTACACTACATTATTGTTGGACAATGCATGTGATCCTTGGATTGGATTCTAACCATTGGGTTCTTTTTCAGACAATGCCATGTGAAAAAATTTGACCAACACAATGCCAAATGTAATAATTTCGGACAAGGCCATGTGATCATTATTACACTACATTATTGTTGGGCAATGCCAAGTGATCCTTGGATTAGATTCTAACCATTGGATTCTTTTTCTGACAATGCTTTAGGGCATATATGGTCTAGACCATATATGGTTTAGGGCATATATTTACAGTCTAGATTTTCTTAGTGAATATATGCCCTAAACCATATACGGTCTAGACTGTAAATATGAAATAAACTTGTTTGAGTGTGTTAAATTTTTATTCATATGGTATCATTTTAATATTAAAAAATTGTAAAATAAAATTATAATACATCAATAAATAAAAAGCACAAAATTATTTAGCATAAAATATACATTGCACAATTCCAATAATTTTAGACAAGGCCATGTGATCATTATTACACTACATTATTGTTGGACAATGCCATGTGATCCTTGGATTGGATTCTAACCATTGGATTCTTTTTCAGACAATGCTTTAGGGCATATATGGTCTAGACCATATATGGTTTACGGCATATATTTACAGTCTAGATTTTCTTAGTGGATATATGCCCTAAACCATATATGGTCTAGACTGTAAATATGAAATAAACTTGTTTGAGTGTGTTAAATTTTTATTCATATGATATCATTTTAATATTTAAAAATTATTAGATAAAATTATAATACATCAATAAATAAAAAGCACGAAATTATTTAGCATAAAATATACATTGCACAAATGCAATAATTTTAGACAAGGCCATGTGATCATTATTACACTACATTATTGTTGGACAATGCTATTGGCTTGAAGGTACTTTAAATCATTGGATTCTTTATATTGAATGACAAATAAATAAACAATTAAGTGACATTGATTTCTCTTGCATTGGACTCCTTTTTATGGTCACTATACTTAGTTTTGCATGTAAATTCGTTTCTCTATTTATAGATCACACTTTAAGAAGCAAAATACACATATCTCATTTCTTCTTTATTATTGAAGTGTTCTTCTTCCCACTCTTCTTGAATATCTTATTTTCTTTAAAATGTCTTCTTCAAAAGGCCCAAAATACTCCAAACCCGAAGATGTCTTAATTGTGAGATGCTACATTAGTGTTTCACAGAATTCAATATCATCAAATGACCAAAGTTCTTCAACCTTTTAGAAAAAAATATATGATGAATACAACTTCCAAAAACACAAGGATTTACCAGAACGCTCTATAAAGACTCTTGACTCTTATTACCATCTCATGGAAACTCATTGTCGGAGGTTTAATGGATGCTTGAAGCAAATCGAATATCGCAATCCTAGTGGGACACAAATCCAAGATAGGGTGAGTACTTTGTTTTAAGTTCAATCTCAGTTCATGTTATTTGCTTGTTTTCTAGGTATACTTACAATTATATACTTTTTACTTTGCTTGTAGATTGAACAAGCCGAACGATTGTTTGAACAAGACCCAAAATATAAAGATGGCTTCAAGTTCCAACATGTGTTCCGACTATTCAAAGAGTTTGGAAAATTTGATGATAATGTCTCCCAACCACGATCTCGTCGTCGGGATTTCGATACACTCAATGGCTCTTTCGAGTCCGATGTTCCATATGATGGACAACCAACACCAGAGTCTCCGGGATTGTCGTCTTTTAGTCCTCAACAAAGCGACGATGGTGTTGGTGGAACATCCTCTCAACGTCCAATGGGAGCGAAGAAAGCAAAATTAAAGAAGAAAAATGAAGACCAATTTTGTCAGTATTTTAATACTCTAAATGCTGAAAGTGATAGTATTGTTGATTTGTTGCAGAAGGCCGAAGAATGTCAAATTGTCCAACTTCAATTGCAGAAACAACAACTTAATTTGCAGAAAAAGAGGGATGAAGATAGAATTTTGATGATAGATTTGAATACCATTACGAATCCCATGATCCGTCGACATTGGGAACAAAAACAAATGCAAATTTTGCAAGAAAGAGAATTTGAGCAACAACAATCTCAAGCAACACCACCATCATCTAACACGGATCAATTCAGATTTCTTGACGACATCGAGCATGCCGGAGAAAATTTGAATGATTATTATGGTGATAATTAAGTCTATTAAATCGTCTATTTTATAATCCTTTTTAGTTTTTATGTTCCGTATTAATTATCGTTGTTGTACTATGTGTGAGCTTTAAGATGGGTTTTTAGTTTATCTTTATGTTTTGATTTTAATTTTAGTGTTTGTACCGTTAATTTAAAGTGAGTGGAATTTTTATCTTTTTTCTTTTTTTTTTTTGTAATTTTTAACTTGTTTGTTTGTAATATTTACTTAAGAGAATTTAAATACTAATTAATATTCTATCATAATAGTTAATAAAGTATTCAATTTTCATAACACTACTTAAAATTCTACCATATTAATTACAATAATTAAGTTTTAAACATTTATAAAAATATTTTAATTCAACTCATTAAATTACTTATTTCAATTAGCACAATTGTAATTAAAAGAAGACCCACCCACAATACATATAAAAAGCCCAAAATACAACCTAACTTTATTGTTTAAAAAAAAAAAAAAAAAAAAAGAAAAAAGAAAAAATGTATAGAGGATGAACAGTGGAACGGTTGCCAAACCGTTCCACAAAAACTCTGTACAGTTTCCGGCACAAATAGAGGGCTTGATTGGAGATGAATTCTCTCCAACCATAATGTTTTCTCTTGCTATACATAATGGATTGGATATGCTCTAATAAGCTCTTACTGTTATTTTGAGGGTTCAGGTCACGAAAAGGCGAAACCAACTAACTACTACTAAGTAGGACCCCCCTTCTCCGTCGGCGAGGTGATACGACCTTCCACTCCACCAGGACTGAGGCATACTACTAAGTAGCCCCCCTCCTTCTCCGCCGGCGAGGTGATACGACCTTCCACTCTACCAGGACTGAGGCACGACTGGTTCCGTCAATTTCGCCTCCTCCAGAGCTCGACGGGAGACCCGATCGGCGGCGGGTCTCTCTGTTTCGTGTCCATGGCCGCGGAGGGGGCGCCGCTGCGTTTTTCTCGTTCCAGCCGTAGGGGTTGCCCCCATGCCGGAGTCTGACTCGTTATTTGTATCTCCGATGCCCATAGGAAGGGCGTGGACGCCGAGCTCTGGTGTGAATTTCTCCAAGTTGGTCGCGGCCCGCCAGTTCGCCGAGTGGCTGGGTTGCTTGTACTCGTCCAGTGACAGCCTTTGGCGGTCCTTCCTCGAGTCTTGATTTCGAGCCCTCCAGTGTGTTTGAGGCGTCTCCTTTTTTTGTCGCTGAAGCTGAAGGCTTTCGAAGTCTAGATCTGAAGCGAGAACGGCCTCTTCGCCGGATCTGTCTAGGCGGTTGTCCGCAGTTTTTGGGTTTGGGCTTTAGATTGGTGACTTTGTTGGTTCGTTAGCTGATGTGTGGGGCTTCAGGGGTTGGTTTGGTAGTCGTTTAGCTCGCCTGCTTGAATTTGGGGAGGTCTTATTTTATTTTATGTGTATATTAGGTGTGAGTTGTATTTTGT